TGCTTGAAACACATATATTGGTCATTTTTAAGTGAATCCACTGAGGAATTGCAATCAGCAATCAAGGAAATAACAATTCAAGTTACATTATGTCAAATATTGTAATGTGTTGGTAATCTTTTTCTCAAGTTAAAACTACATGAAAATAAAAGACTTTCACCCCGTAGCACAATTTGCAAAAAAAGCTGTAAATCGTTCATTGAAATATAATTTCAATGTTTCGTTAATAATTGTGATCTCTCTGAATGCCTATTATGTGTTTGGTATTATCGATAAAGAAAGCACAGTTCAAACGTTCTGGAGGATAGAAGTTCACATGAATAGCGTTCATTTTGTGTCTACAACCAAAGACTGTGAAAAGAACGCCATTACTGGAAATGTGTCTCAGGGGGTGATGACTGAAAAAAATAGTTATGGTAGTCTGTTTAGCTTCATATTTAGTTGTACTTTATTTATAAAAAAAAATAGTGCATCAAAAATTGAAATATCTGGACAAATAACAGTGTACAATTGTTACGTTCTGACTCATATAATAATATTTTATGTTTAGCTGCAAATATCGTCATGCTCATTCTGCAGTATCATATGTAGTCATTTGCTCATTGCACATTCTATACTACAGATAAACACACTCGTACATTTTCTCATTTGTAGAATCCATTTCAACGACGAGCATTCCATTTGTATCGACAATAAGAGACGTACCATCAACTACACCCGAACTGACTCCATCTCACAAAAGGACGACTGAAACAGGTAACAATTCATCTGGCTACATTCTTTGGCTGTTGCTGAATTCATATCTGCAAAAATCATAGACCGGCTTTGTTGTTCAGCATGTATTTTGGTCGATTTAGGGCGACTATCTTTGAAAACAATGTTTATAGAAGTCTGTTTAGCTTCACATGTGGTTGTACTGTCGTTATAAAAAAAAACATTAGTGCTTCAAACAGTGAAATATCTGGACAAATAATAATGTACAATTGTTACACTGTGACTCGTATATTAATAGTTTATGTTTAGTTACAATGGATCCTAATAAAATTTTGTAATATTGTATGTAAACATTTGCTCATTGAACATTTTCTGCTACTGATAAACACACTCATGCATTTTCGCATTTCTAGAATCCATTTCAATGAGCGTACCAGTTCTATCGACAACCAAAGAAGTACCATTAACTACACCCAAACTGACTTCATCTCACAAAAAGACGACTGAAACAGGTAACAATTCATCTGGCTACATTAATTGGCTGTTGATGACTTCATATCTGCAAATATTATTAACAGATTTTGTTGTTCAACATGTATTTTGTTCAATATGAATCACCTAATATCGTGGAAAGATAAATTCATTGCTGTTTCTCAGTTACGGGTCATATTGGACTGAAAAGTATTTGCAATAGAAGCTCAGTGGTGCGAGAAATGCAATACGCTAGCATGCAGTTGTTTGTGACATGCCAAGAGAACGAGTAACTCATAGTATTTTCTGGTGAATGGTAGCGTATTTGGTGATAACAGAAAGTGTGGCTCCCCTCACATGCTAGATTTTTTTCCTCGATATTGTTCAAGTGATTTGTGATATTCTCAATATAACAATAGCTTGCCGTTTATTTATCAGTACGAGTATCTTTCTGCATAATTTTGTAATGTATCATGCTGTAAATAAAGTATGTCTTGTTACGTTTGCAGAATTTTACACTGCGACTGACTCATTTGAATCCACGATTGGAACTACGAGTCCTACAATCACACAAACATCATCGGTCATTACAACTCAGCGGGGCGATACAGGTGAGAAGTGTCATTTGTCTCATGCTATCAATTTATTATGTAGTTTATTTTTCATTTAATTTGAAATGTTTGATTGTTTTATTTGAATTGTATGCATTTAAACAAAATTAAATACAAATATCCATGTTGTTTATAGATGATATAATTCGATTACTTTGTTGAAAATTTTACTTTAATGTATGTATAATTGTAAATTACATCATATGTTGATGAGCAATTATTTTCATTAATTAGACCAATTCCAATATTACGTCATTATGTTTCTAAGTATTATGTCACGAGACTCAATACGTTCCCCCACAAAAATAAGCACAACAGTCGTGCTTGAAACACATAATATTAGTCCATCTTTAAGTGAATCCATTGAGGAATTGCAATCAGCAATCAAGGAAATAACAATTCAAGTTACATTATCTCAAATATTGTAATGTGTTGGTAAGCTTTTTTTAAAAACTACATGAAAATAAAAGACTTACACCCCGTAGCACAATTTGCAAAAAAGCTGTAAATATTACATTGAAATATAATTTCAATGTTTCGTTAATGATTGTCATCTCTCTGAATGCCTATTATGTGTCTGGTATTATCGATAAAGAAAGCACAGTTCAAACGTTCTGGAGGATAGAAGTTCACATGAATAGCGTTCATTTTGTGTCTACAACCAAAGACTGTGAAAACAACGCAATCACTGGAAATGTGTCTCTGGGGGTGACGACTGAAAAAAAATAGTTATGGTAGTCTGTTTAGCTTCATATTAGGTTGTACTTTATTTATAAAAAAAATAGTGCATCAAAAATTGAAATATCTGGACAAATGACAGTGTACAATTGTTACACTGTGACTCATATAATAATATTTTATGTTTAGCTGCAAATATCCTAATACTCATTCTGCAGTATCATATGTAGTCATTTGCTCATTGCACGTTCTATACTACAGATAAACACACTCGTACATTTTCTCATTTGTAGAATCCATTTCAACGACGAGCATTCCATTTGTATCGACATCAAAAGATGTACCATCAACTACACCCGAACTGACTCCATCTCACAAAAGGACGACTGAAACAGGTAACAATTCATCAGGCTACATTATTTGGCTGTTGCTGAATTCATATCTGCAAAAATCATAGACCGGCTTTGTTGTTTAGCATGTATTTTGGTCGATTTAGGGCGACGATCTTTGAAAACAATGTTTATAGAAGTCTATTTAGCTTCACATGTGGTTGTACTGTCATTATAAAAAAACATTAGTGCTTCAAACAGCGAAATATCTGGACAAATAATAATGTACAACTGTTACACTGTGACTCATATATTAATAGTTTATGTTTAGTTACAATGGATCATAATACAAATTCTGTAGTATCGTATGTAAACATTTGCTCATTGAACATATTGTGTTACTGATAAACACACTCGTGCATTTTGCATTTCTAGAATCCATTTCAACGAGCGTACCAGTTCTATCGACAACCAAAGAAGTACCATTAACTACACCCAAACTGACTTCACCTCACAAAAAGACGACTGAAACAGGTAACAATTCATCTGGCTACATTAATTGGCTGTTGATGAGTTCATATCTGCCAATATTATTAACAGATTTTGTTGTTCAACATGTATTTTGTTCAATATGAATCACCTAATATCGTGAAAAGATAAATTCATTGCTTTTTCTCAGTTACGGGTCATATTTGACTGAAAAGTACTAGCAATAGAAGCTCAGTGGTGTGAGAAATGCAATACGCTAGCATGCAGTTGTTTGTGACATGCCACGAGAACGAGTAACTCAGTGTATTTCTGGTGAATGGTAGCGTATTTGGTGATAACAGAAAGTGTGGCTACCCTCACATGCTAGATTTTTTCCTAGATATTGTTCAAGTGATTTGTGATATTCTCAATATAACAATAGCTTGCCGTTTATTTCATCTTTCATGTAACGTATAATAACTAATTTTAATGAAGTTTTGTAGATCAATATTGATAGGTAGGAATAAAACATCACATTACGAAAAGAATCATAATGATATCGTCACCGAAATCATCAACACCAATGATTAATTATATCAACAGCTAAAAAAGTACACAAAGCAACAACCATACCAACTCTGGCTCCGGATGAAGAAATAACCGAAACAGGTTAGTAATATCCGATAGGATATAAACATTGGTAACTCTATTTTCATCAATGACATAATTAACTACTTCTGAATTCTACAAATTTAAAACTGAACAGTAAGAACTCTTTCAACAGCGTTTAGTAAAATGGGGTGGTAACGCTGAGTTGTTGATCATAGTTGTTACTATTGAATACAATTATTGTCATATCTATGTTGATTTCTTTTCAAAATTTATCAGTACGAGTATCATTCTGCATAATTTTGTAATGTATCATGCTGTAAATAAAGTATGTCTTGTTACGTTTGCAGAATTTTACACTGTGACTGACTCATTTGAATCCACGATTGTAACTACGAGTCCTACAATCACACAAACATCATCGGTCATTACAACTCAGCGGGGCGATACAGGTGAGAAGTGTCATTTGTCTCATGCTATCAATTTATTATGTAATTTATTTTTCATTTAATTTGAAATGTTTGATTGTTTTATTTGAATTTTATGCATTTAAACAAAATTAAATACAAATATCCATGTTGTTTATAGATGATATAATTCGATGACTTTGTTGAAAATTTTACTTTAATGTATGTATAATTGTAAATTACATCATATGTTGATGAGAAATTATTTTCATTAATTAGACCAATTCCAATATTACATCATTATGTTTCTAAGTATTATGTCACGAGACTCAATACGTTCCACCACAAAAATAAGCACAACAGACGTGCTTGAAACACATAATATTGGTCCATTTTTAAGTGAATCCACTGAGGAATTGCAATCAGCAATCAAGTAAATAACAATTCAAGTTACATTATCTCAAAAATTGTAATGTGTTGGTAAGCTTTTTTTTAAAACTACATGAAAATAAAAGACTTTCACCCCGTAGCACAATTTGCAAAAAAAGCTGTAAATCTTTCATTGAAATATAATTTCAATTTTTCGTTAATAATTGTGATCTCTCTGAATGCCTATTATGTGTTTGGTATTATCGATAAAAATAGCACAGTTCAAACGTTCTGGAGGATAGATGTTCACATGAATTGCGTTCATTTTGTGTCTACAACCAAAGACTGTGAAAACAACGCAATCACTGGAAATGTGTCTCAGGGGGTGACGACTGAAAAAAATAGTTATGGTACACTGTTTAGCTTCATATTTGGTTGTACTTTATTTATAAAAAAAAATAGTGCATCAAAAATTGAAATATCTGGACAAATAACAGTGTACAATTGTTACATTCTGACTCATATAATAATATTTTATGTTTAGCTGCAAATATCGTCATGCTCATTCTGCAGTATCATATGTAGTAATTTGCTCATTGAACATTCTATACTACAGATAAACACACTCGTACATTTTCTCATTTGTAGAATCCATTTCAACGACGAGCATTCCATTTGTATCGACAACAAGAGACATACCATCAACTACACCTGAACTGACTCCATCTCACAAAAGGACGACTGAAACAGGTAACAATTCATCTGGCTACATTCTTTGGCTGATGCTGAATTCATATCTGCAAAAATCATAGACCGGCTTTGTTGTTCAGCATGTATTTTGGTCGATTTATGGCGACAATCTTTGAAAACATTGTTTATAGAAGTCTGTTTAGCTTCACATGCGGCTGTACTGTCATTATAAAAAAAAACATTAGTGCTTCAAACAGTGAAATATCTGGACAAATAATAATGTACAATTGTTACACTGTGACGCGTATATTAATAGTTTATGTTTAGTTACAATGGATCCTAATACAAATTTTGTAGTATTGTATGTAAACATTTGCTCATTGAACATTTTCTGCTACTGATAAACAGACTCGTGCATTTTCGCATTTCTAGAATCCATTTCAACGAGCGTACCAGTTCTATCGACAACCAAAGAAGTACCATTAACTACACCCAAACTGACTTCACCTCACAAAAAGACGACTGAAACAGGTAACAATTCATCTGGCTACATTAATTGGCTGTTGATGACTTCATATCTGCAAATATTATTAACAGATTTTGTTGTTCAACATGTATTTTGTTCAATATGAATCACCTAATATCGTGGAAAGATTAATTCATTGCTGTTTCTCAGTTACGGGTCATATTGGACTGAAAAGTACTTGCAATAGAAGCTCAGTGGTGCGAGAAATGCAATACGCTAGCATGCAGTTGTTTGTGACATGCCACGAGAACGAGTAACTCAGTGTATTTCTGGTGAATGGTAGCGTATTTGGTGATAACAGAAAGTGTGGCTACCCTCACATGCTAGATTTTTTCCTAGATATTGTTCAAGTGATTTGTGATATTCTCAATATAACAATAGCTTGCCGTTTATTTCATCTGTCATGTAACGTATAATAACTAATTTTATTGAAATTGTGTAGATCAATATTGATAGGTAGGAATAAAGCATCACATTACGAAAAGAATCATAATATTATCGTCACCAAAATCATCAACACAAATGATTAATTATATCAACAGCTAAAAAAGTACACACAGCAACAACCATACCAACTCTGGCTCCGGATGAAGAAATAACCGAAACAGGTTAGTAATATCCGACAGGATATAAACATTGGTAACTTTATTTTCATCAATGACATAATTAACTACTTCTGATGTCTACAAATTTAAAACTGAACAGTTAGAACTTCTTTCAACAGTGTTTAGTCAAATGAGGTGGTAACGCTGATTTGTTGATCATAGTTGTTACTATTGAATACAATTTATTGTCATATCGATGTTGATTTTTTTTCAAAATTTACCAGTACGAGAATCATTCGGCATAATTTTGTAATGTATCATGCTGTAAATAAAGTATATCTTGTTACGTTTGCAGAATTTTACACTGCGACTGACTCATTGAATCCACGATTGGAACAACGAGTCTACAATCACACAAACATCGTCGGTCATTACAACTCAGCGGGGCGATACAGGTGAGAAGTGTCATTTGTATCATGCTATCAATGTATTATGTAGTTTATTTTTCATTTAATTTGAAATGTTTAATTGTTTTATTTGAATTTTATGCATTTAAACAAAATTAAATACAAATATCCATGTTGTTTATAGATGATATAATTCGATGACTTTGTTGAAAATTTTACTTTAATGTATGTATAATTGTAAATTACATCATATGTTGATGAGCATTATTTACATTAATTAGACCAATTCCAATATTGCATCATTATGTTTCTAAGTATTATGTCACGAGACTCAATACGTTCCACCACGAAAATAAGCACAACAGACGTGCTTGAAACACATAATATTGGTCCATTTTTAAGTGAATCCACTGAGGAATTGCAATCAGCAATCAAGGAAATAACAATTCAAGTTACATTATGTCAAATATTGTAATGTGTTGGTAATCTTTTTCTTAAAACTACATGAAAATAAAAGACTTTCACCCCGTAGCACAATTTGCAAAAAAAGCTGTAAATCTTTCATTGGAATATAATTTCAATTTTTCGTTAATAATTGTGATCTCTCTGAATGCCTATTATGTGTTTGGTATTATCGATAAAAATAGCACAGTTCAAACGTTCTGGAGGATAGATGTTCACATGAATAGCGTTCATTTTGTGTCTACAACCAAAGACTGTGAAAAGAACGCCATTACTGGAAATGTGCCTCAGGGGGTGACGACTGAAAAAAATAGTTATGGTACACTGTTTAGCTTCATATTTGGTTGTACTTTATTTATAAAAAAAATTGTGCATCAAAAATTGAAATATCTGGACAAATAACAGTGTACAATTGTTACATTCTGACTCATATAATAATATTTTATGTTTAGCTGCAAATATCGTCATGCTCATTCTGCAGTATCATATGTAGTCATTTGCTCATTGAACATTCTATACTACAGATAAACACACTCGTACATTTTCTCATTTGTAGAATCCATTTCAACGACGAGCATTCCATTTGTATCGACAACAAGAGACGTACCATCAACTACATCCGAACTGACTCCATCTCACAAAAGGACGACTGAAACAGGTAACAATTCATCTGGCTACATTCTTTGGCTGTTGCTGAATTCATATCTGCAAAAATCATAGACCGGCTTTGTTGTTCAGCATGTATTTTGGTCGATTTAGGGCGACAATCTTTGAAAACATTGTTTATAGAAGTCTGTTTAGCTTCACATGCGGCTGTACTGTCATTATAAAAAAAACATTAGTGCTTCAAACAGTGAAATATCTGGACAAATAATAATGTACAATTGTTACACTGTGACGCGTATATTAATAGTTTATGTTTAGTTACAATGGATCCTAATACAAATTTTGTAGTATTGTATGTAAACATTTGCTCATTGAACATTTTCTGCTACTGATAAACAGACTCGTGCATTTTCGCATTTCTAGAATCCATTTCAACGAGCGTACCAGTTCTATCGACAACCAAAGAAGTACCATTAACTACACCCAAACTGACTTCACCTCACAAAAAGACGACTGAAACAGGTAACAATTCATCTGGCTACATTAATTGGCTGTTGATGACTTCATATCTGCAAATATTATTAACAGATTTTGTTGTTCAACATGTATTTAGTTCAATATGAATCACCTAATATCGTGGAAAGATAAATTCATTGCTGTTTCTCAGTTACGAGTCATATTGGACTGAAAAGTACTTGCAATAGAAGCTCAGTGGTGCGAGAAATGCAATACGCTAGCATGCAGTTGTTTGTGACATGCCAAGAGAACGAGTAACTCAGTGTATTTCTGGTGAATGGTAGCGTATTTGGTGATAACAGAAAGTGTGGCTACCCTCACATGCTAGATTTTTTCCTTAATATTGTTCAAGTGATTTGTGATTTTCTCAATATAACAATAGCTTGCCGTTTATTTCATTTTTCATGTAACGTATAATAACTAATTTTAATGAAATTGTGTAGATCAATATTGATAGATAGGAATAAAACATCACATTACGAAAAGAATCATAATAATATCATCACCGAAATCATCAACACAAATGATTAATTATATCAACAGCTAAAAAAGTACACACAGCAACAACCATACCAACTCTGGCTCCGGATGAAGAAATAACCGAAACAGGTTAGTAATATCCGACAGGATATAAACATTGGTAACTTTATTGTCATCAATGACATAATTAACTACTTCTGAAGTCTACAAATTTAAAACTGAACAGTTAGAACTCTTTCAACAGCGTTTAGTCAAATGAGGTGGTAACACTGAGTTGTTGATCATAGTTGATAGTATTGAATACAATTATTGTCATATCGATGTTGATTTTTTTTCAAAATTTATCAGTACGAGTATCATTCGGCATAATTTTGTAATGTATCATGCTGTAAATAAAGTATATCTTGTTACGTTTGCAGAATTTTACACTGCGACTGACTCATTTGAATCCCACGATTGGAACAACGAGTCGTACATTCACACAAACATCGTCGGTCATTACAACTCAGCGGGGCGATACAGTGAGAAGTGTCATTGTCTCATGCTATCAATGTATTATGTAGTTTATTTTCATTTAATTGAAATGTTTAATTGTTTTATTTGAATTTTATGCATTTAAACAAAATTAAATACAAATATCCATGTTGGTTATAGATGATATAATTCGATGACTTGTTGAAAATTTTACTTTAATGTATGTATAATTGTAAATTACATCATATGTTGATGAGCATTATTTTACATTAATTAGACCAATTCCAATATTGCATCATTATGTTTCTAAGTATTATGTCACGAGACTCAATACGTTCCACCACGAAAATAAGCACAACAGACGTGCTTGAAACACATAATATTGGTCCATTTTTAAGTGAATCCACTGAGGAATTGCAATCAGCAATCAAGGAAATAACAATTCAAGTTACATTATGTCAAATATTGTAATGTGTTGGTAATCTTTTTCTTAAAACTACATGAAAGTAAAAGACTTTCACCCCGTAGCACAATTTGCAAAAAAAGCTGTAAATCTTTCATTGGAATATAATTTCAATTTTTCGTTAATAATTGTGATCTCTCTGAATGCCTATTATGTGTTTGGTATTATCGATAAAAATAGCACAGTTCAAACGTTCTGGAGGATAGATGTTCACATGAATAGCGTTCATTTTGTGTCTACAACCAAAGACTGTGAAAAGAACGCCATTACTGGAAATGTGCCTCAGGGGGTGACGACTGAAAAAAAATAGTTATGGTACACTGTTTAGCTTCATATTTGGTTGTACTTTATTTATAAAAAAAATTGTGCATCAAAAATTGAAATATCTGGACAAATAACAGAGTACAATTGTTACATTCTGACTCATATAATAATATTTTATGTTTAGCTGCAAATATCGTCATGCTCATTCTGCAGTATCATATGTAGTCATTTGCTCATTGAACATTCTATACTACAGATAAACACACTCGTACATTTTCTCATTTGTAGAATCCATTTCAACGACGAGCATTCCATTTGTATCGACAACAAGAGACGTACCATCAACTACACCCGAACTGACTCCATCTCACAAAAGGACGACTGAAACAGGTAACAATTCATCTGGCTACATTCTTTGGCTGTTGCTGAATTCATATCTGCAAAAATCATAGACCGGCTTTGTTGTTCAGCATGTATTTTGGTCGATTTAGGGCGACAATCTTTGAAAACATTGTTTATAGAAGTCTGTTTAGCTTCACATGCGGCTGTACTGTCATTATAAAAAAAACATTAGTGCTTCAAACAGTGAAATATCTGGACAAATAATAATGTACAATTGTTACACTGTGACGCGTATATTAATAGTTTATGTTTAGATACAATGGATCCTAATACAAATTTTGTAGTATTGTATGTAAACATTTGCTCATTGAACATTTTCTGCTACTGATAAACAGACTCGTGCATTTTCGCATTTCTAGAATCCATTTCAACGAGCGTACCAGTTCTATCGACAACCAAAGAAGTACCATTAACTACACCCAAACTGACTTCACCTCACAAAAAGACGACTGAAACAGGTAACAATTCATCTGGCTACATTAATTGGCTGTTGATGACTTCATATCTGCAAATATTATTAACAGATTTTGTTGTTCAACATGTATTTTGTTCAATATGAATCACCTAATATCGTGGAAAGATAAATTCATTGTTGTTTCTCAGTTACGGGTCATATTGGACTGAAAAGTACTTGCAATAGAAGCTCAGTGGTGCAAGAAATGCAATACGCTAGCATGCAGTTGTTTGTGACATGCCACGAGAACGAGTAACTCAGTGTATTTCTGGTGAATGGTAGCGTATTTGGTGATAACAGAAAGTGTGGCTACCCTCACATGCTAGATTTTTTCCTAGATATTGGTCAAGTGATTTGTGATATTCTCAATATAACAATAGCTTGCCGTTTATTTCATCTTTCATGTAACGTATAATAAATAATTTTAATGAAATTGGCGAGATCAATATTGATAGGTAGAAATAAAACATCACATTACGAAAAGAATCATAATACTATCGTCACCGAAATCATCAACACAAATGATTAATTATATCAACAGCTAAAAAAGTACACACAGCAACAACCATAACAACTCTGGCTCCGGATGAAGAAATAACCGAAACAGGTTAGTAATATCCGACAGGATATAAACATTGGTAACTTTATTGTCATCAATGACATAATTAACTACTTCTGAAGTCTACAAATTTAAAACTGAACAGTTAGAACGCTTTCAACAGCGTTTAGTCAAATGAGGTGGTAACACTGAGTTGTTGATCATAGTTGTTACTATTGAATACAATTATTGTCATATCGATGTTGATTTTTTTTCAAAATGTATCAGTACGAGTATCATTCGGCATAATTTTGTAATGTACCATGCTGTAAATAAAGTATATCTTGTTTACGTTTGCAGAATTTTACACTGCGACTGACTCATTTGAATCCACGATTGGAACAACGAGTACTACAATCACACAAACATCATCGGTCATTACAACTCAACGGGGCGATACAGGTGAGAGGTGTCATTTGTCTCATGCTATCAATTTATTATGTAGTTTATTTTTCATTTAATTTGAAATGTTTGATTGTTTTATTTGAATTTAATGCATTTAAACAAAATTAAATACAAATATCCATGTAGTTTATAGATGATATAATTCGATGACTTTGTTGAAAATTTTACTTTAATGTATGTATAATTGTAAATTACATCATATGTTGATGAGCATTATTTACATTAATTAGACCAATTCCAATATTGCATCATTATGTTTTTAAGTATTATGTCACGAGACTCAATACGTTCCACCACAAAAGTAAGCACAACAGACGTGCTTGAAACACATAATATTGGTCCATTTTTAAGTGAATCCACTGAGGAATTGCAATCAGCAATCAAGGAAATAACAATTCAAGTTACATTATGTCAAATATTGTAATGTGTTGGTAATCTTTTTCTTAAAACTACATGAAAATAAAAGACTTTCACCCCGTAGCACAATTTGCAAAAAAAGCTGTAAATCGTTCATTGAAATATAATTTCAATGTTTCGTTAATAATTGTGATCTCTCTGAATGCCTATTATGTGTTTGGTATTATCGATAAAGAAAGCACAGTTCAAACGTTCTGGAGGATAGAAGTTCACATGAATAGCGTTCATTTTGTGTCTACAACCAAAGACTGTGAAAAGAAGCCATTACTGGAAATGTGTCTCAGGGGGTGATGACTGAAAAAAATAGTTATGGTTGTCTGTTTAGCTTCATATTTAGTTGTACTTTATTTATAAAAAAAAATAGTGCATCAAAAATTGAAATATCTGGACAAATAACAGTGTACAATTGTTACGTTCTGACTCATATAATAATATTTTATGTTTAGCTGCAAATATCGTCATGCTCATTCTGCAGTATCATATGTAGTCATTTGCTCATTGCACATTCTATACTACAGATAAACACACTCGTACATTTTCTCATTTGTAGAATCCATTTCAACGACGAGCATTCCATTTGTATCGACAATAAGAGACGTACCATCAACTACACCCGAACTGACTCCATCTCACAAAAGGACGACTGAAACAGGTAACAATTCATCTGGCTACATTCTTTGGCTGTTGCTGAATTCATATCTGCAAAAATCATAGACCGGCTTTGTTGTTCAGCATGTATTTTGGTCGATTTAGGGCGACTATCTTTGAAAACAATGTTTATAGAAGTCTGTTTAGCTTCACATGTGGTTGTACTGTCATTATAAAAAAAACATTAGTGCTTCAAACAGTGAAATATCTGGACAAATAATAATGTACAATTGTTACACTGTGACTCGTATATTAATAGTTTATGTTTAGTTACAATGGATCCTAATAAAATTTTGTAATATTGTATGTAAACATTTGCTCATTGAACATTTTCTGCTACTGATAAACACACTCGTGCATTTTCGCATTTCTAGAATCCATTTCAATGAGCGTACCAGTTCTATCGACAACCAAAGAAGTACCATTAACTACACCCAAACTGACTTCATCTCACAAAAAGACGACTGAAACAGGTAACAATTCATCTGGCTACATTAATTGGCTGTTGATGACTTCATATCTGCAAATATTATTAACAGATTTTGTTGTTCAACATGTATTTTGTTCAATATGAATCACCTAATATCGTGGAAAGATAAATTCATTGCTGTTTCTCAGTTACGGGTCATATTGGACTGAAAAGTACTTGCAATAGAAGCTCAGTGGTGCGAGAAATGCAATACGCTAGCATGCAGTTGTTTGTGACATGCCAAGAGAACGAGTAACTCAGTGTATTTCTGGTGAATGGTAGCGTATTTGGTGATAACAGAAAGTGTGGCTACCCTCACATGCTAGATTTTTTCCTTAATATTGTTCAAGTGATTTGTGATATTCTCAATATAACAATAGCTTGCAGTTTATTTCATCTTTCATGTAACGTATAATAACTAATTTTAATGAAATTGTGTAGATCAATATTGATAGATAGGATTAAAACATCACATTACGAAAAGAATCATAATAATATCGTCACCGAAATCATCAACACAAATGATTAATTATATCAACAGCTAAAAAAGTACACACAGCAACAACCATACCAACTCTGGCTCCGGATGAAGAAATAACCGAAACAGGTTAGTAATATCCGACAGGATATAAATATTGGTATCTTTATTGTCATCAATGACATAATTAACTACTTCTGAAGTCTACAAATTTAAAACTGAACAGTTAGAACTCTTTCAACAGCGTTTAGTCAAATGAGGTGGTAGCACTGAGTTGTTGATCATAGTTGTTACTATTGAATACAATTATTGTCATATCGATGTTGATTTTTTTTTCAAAATTTATCAGTACGAGTATCATTCGG